GTCGTCCATATAAAATTCGTTTAGTACTTTCGGTGCTGCTAATGGAAATTAGGAACCTTCGTCATGGGCTAGTTGTTGAAGACATCGAACAGCCAAATAGGGTGCCGATGAGGTGCCAAAGGTAACTGAAATTCAGCATCTGGATTTTCGCGCCAAAATATGCGCTAAAAATCTAAGTCCTCATCAGCTACTCTTATTTGCCGGTATATCTTGACGATATCAGCTACTAGAGCGGCAGGGTAGCATCGCCATCGCATAACAATATGACGAAGTTCCGGTTGAAGTGCAGGGCCTACCATCAACTCGTTGTTAAGGAATACCCCATTTGAGTCTGTACAAGATGCGTCCACAACCATACGCACTTTTGTTGTGGTCTTGTCATGACGTACTACGGCGTGATGTGGGAGATATACAGATTTCTTCGCAAGTTCGTTAGAACTCACTACTTCTATATGACCGGAACTTACATACTCATTTATAACCTTTGAATATGCGACCTTAAGTTCTGGGTCCTTCAATAAACGCTTTTCCAAAAACTGAAAACGTTTGTACGCTATATCCTTTATATTACCATGTAGACATAGTGGATCTCCCTTTCTGAATGGTAATCGCACAATATACTTACTTGTCTCATCATGCCTTGTAGATTGAGTAAAGAATCCCTCACATCTCTGCTCTTCTTGAGACAAACGGTTGCACAAGCCAAGAGATAGTTCGGGCTCCAATTCCCAAAATCTTTTGAGAAGTTCGTTCTCGTTGATTTGTATAGTGTGCAGACTTACTACATTCATGCACGTTTCACTACCAATGACTTCTCCCTTATGGTTGGGTATTCTGCCAGATAGGACCCAGCCCAGTCTCGTGCGTTGAGCAACTATTGAATCAGACGGGCTCCCAATTATACCTTCCATTAGAATCTGGCTATATACTTTGGCCCCGAGGAACAAGTCAATTTTATTTGGTATATCAAATGTAGGATCCGCCGACGTATTTGACGGGTGTGCTGGCAACACTTGAACAACGACCTTACTACTTGGTAGAAAGGTTGTGAGTCTGCTGAGTACGTGAGCTTTAACTGTAATTGTAAAGCTTGGGTCACGACAGGACTGATTTTTTATAACCACATACGACTTTGAAGCTAAAGTCACTTGGTCGCCGCCAAGACCTGATACAAGACTGGCCCCAGGAGTCTTTTTAAGTGCCAACATTTGTACAGCAGATTCTGTTATAAACGATGCCTGAGACCCCTGTGCTAAAAGAGATCTCAGGACAAAGGTAGAATTCGTTTTAGGAGACTCTATCTTTACTAGGGCGGTAGCCAATAAGACTTGCCCGAGCATGTTTGAAACACAAGTGACTACTTGTGGAATTGATGGCTCACCACTGGTCTGTAGTGGATTTGACTTAACTCTCTCAGCTCCCTTCACAGACTCATCAGCCGTGACAATCTTCGCATCACTAGCTGATTTCAGATTTTTGGGATGTAGTAGACTGTGGTGTTTTTTCTTACAGAGTCGACACCGTGTTGACGCTGTACACTGATAAACCGAATGATCAGAACCGAAGCAATTAAAATAAAAACGATGAGTTTAGACGACTCACGACGCGCATCGACGGTTTCTTTCTAATTTTTTACAATTAAACAACTTATTATTTAAAGTACAAAAGGCACAAGTTACTAAAGTAGTGGCAACATGAATACTGTTCGCCTTTTCGACCCTTTGAACCCTGGTATCCAAAAGCTCTAAAGACCGAAATCTACCTTGCAAAAACTCCTCAAATTGATTAAGACTAGGCAAATCCTGAACAGAATCAGAAACCCTTTGTTCCCATTGCTTGCGGGAATGGGATCCAATTTTTGAGTAATGAAAAAAAATATATAATTATGTCCCAGTCACTAGTTTTAACGCCAATATTTTCTAGTGCACGTAAACATTCTTTTGTGGTATCTAATAATTGTTTAATGGCACCTGCAGCCAAAAATCTTTTATTGTTGTAGCGACCTTCTAAATGTTCCCAAAAGACCTTATAATTATCCGATGTTATTGGGATATGTCGCAATAATTGTTCTGCTTCACTCGTTACACTACTTTTAAGATAATGAAGTTTTTGGACATCGTCGATACCAGGGTTCTTGTGTACTAAGGAAGTGAATAAATCACGGAAGCTCACACACTCTGTGTACTTCCCAGAAAATTTGTGCAATGTAATTTTCGGCAAGATAACTGAAGGTTTCTCGCTAGCTATATTAACAGGTTCTACAATATTATTAGCACTACACTTTAACAATGTTTCCTTGAATAATGTCTTATATTCGAAATAAAGTTCCTCAGTTTGATCATAAATATCCCCTGTATGATAAATAAATTTTTCGAAATCCTCTTTCTTAAAAGTTCATATACAATTTTACGATGATTTTGAGAAAACACAGTCCAATTACTCTCTAAAGATTCTAATCGCTTTTTAATATGATTTTGTAATCCTTTCCTTAGGGAATTTTTTGAAAGAAAGTCCGGCTCGAAGGACCAATGAACAATGTCCCAAGAATTAAGTAAAACACAGTACTCAGTGGTGAGAATAGGTACCTACCAATTTTATTCGCCCAGACTACATGTAACACAGGAAAAACATTATATCGTGATACAGAAATGGTAATACGCCATCTAGCGCTGTTGCTTAGAACTTATATAACACAAACGTTGTTCGTGGTTATGAAAATAATTTATCGGCTCTTAACAGGCCCATTCTTTCTCAAAGGGTGATACCTACTCCCTGACATGCCCGCTCGATCTCGTCTACACCAGATTAGTATGCAGTATACATGCCATGTGTAGTGACATCCTTCCCCTTCCGTTTCGTCTCATTTACACATGACACATCTATTCCTCTATCATACATCATATTGCATACTTCATCCATTTTATCATTCATTGCTCCACATACATTCAACGTAGCCAGACGGGCCTCTGCAATCCACTTTTCGCCCCTCCGGGAGCCAGAACGTGACGGGTGGCGAACCTCGTTGCCAGTTTTTCTCCCGGAGATTCTTCGCACCCCTGCTCCATTAAAGGGGCGCCGGAAACTTGGGGCCATTTCTTGTAATTGGTTCCTCATGGTACTAAATATGGGTTGGTATATTTACACCGCTACCACGGCGAGGAGCCGAGTCTGTGCTATCGGCTTGTCGCTCATTTAGCAACATTCCGGGGGACACGTGTAGGGTGGGCCTAGGATTAGATGGTCAAAGCCTACGGACGCGAGCGACCTATCCCCCTGGTGGTCCTGGAACTGGTCATCCAATTGCACAATTTATCGGTAAGCCCATGGGAAGGAAGCTTCGTAAGAAGCGGTTTGTGCCAAACCCGTTCGAAGGCCTTTGCTACGTCCAAACTAACGGCCAACGCCTCCCCCTTGAACTCTACTGCCCTCGCCCATTTATGAGTTAGGTAACCTAGAAGATCACCAGCCGAGCGACCGCGACGAAAACGGTACTGGCGGTTACTAATCAGCTGGTGAGGGTACGGAGGGGCTTGGGGGGCTTTTTTTTTGGGGTTTTTTTTTTTGGGGGGGGGGGGGGGGGGGGGCCCCCCGCTCCCCCCCCCTTTTGTTTTCGGGTTTCATGGAACCCACGGTTTTTGGCGTCTTGTTAAAAATGGAAGAGATGGCTGGCAGAAGTTCCCTTGGACAGCTTTGGTGAGAGACCAGAAAGCACGTGTTCCCGAAAGAAGACGAACAAGTTTCTCGCCAATTATGCCGATGTGCTTTGACAGGAGAGGCAGAATTATACTTCTTTTTAAGAACGCTGGTATTTACATCCCGATACATCGATGCGCGAGCCTAGACCTGGTATAACGTAATGCAATTTTGCAGGAGCGACCAAACCAAGGCTGGGTTCTGCCTCCAATAGGTACCACAGATGATGGAATAAATAGTTACATTCCCTGTAGCACCACATCAGTGACAGAATTAGCAACAACGCTGGGATCATCCGGCGAGAAGCAAACCCAACAAGGGTAGGATTGGTCCGAGGAGCCAAGAGGGGTATCAACGGAGACCTGATATCCGTCCAGATGAGAGGTCAGCAGAAGTTCCAAGAGGGAAGGTACACGATCTTCCACATCTGTGATCCGCGTAGGCGAGGTAACCAGTTGTGTCAGACCATATGCCAAAGCAAAGTCATTAAAAGATCTACCCGCATGACCGGTTAAACCAGAACCAATCAACCAAGTTAAAATCAGCAAGTATCACGATCTCTGCGGATGGGACCTGTTGTGGCACGGAGTCTGCAGCCATCTGGACATGGTCGATCAGTCGGTCTGTGTCGGCATTACTGCTATGGGACCTATATACTCGTAATAATAATAATAATTAGATCCCATCGCCCGCTGACGTAACGGTTATGTGACAAAACCGCTACGTCAGCGCAGTCAGTTAGCACCTTGCCAAGAGGTGTTAGTGCCGTGCCTAAAGGCGTAGGGAAGAGACGACTCCATCGCCCGCTGACGTAACGGTTATGTGACAAAACTGCTACGTCAGCGCAGTCAGTCAGCACCTTGCCAAGAGGTGTTAATGCCATGCCTCGGCAAAAATTGAAGGTGCAAAGGCCCACTTGTGAACATGGACTCACCATGGAACAGCACCGGGTTTGGGCGTCTCCCGTTAAATGACGTCCTCTAAAATAGATGATGGAATTAAATAGAACGCGCAAAGGGCTGCTGCCTGGAGGTCGCCAGGGCGCGTCTGGAGCTGGCGTTGGACGCGACAGCATGCGAATCGCCAGCCGAGCGCGAGGTGCTGATCGACCACCCAGCAGCCCCTAGCATCCATCATCCCCACCAGCTGGCTTGGTGTCAGCAGGGTCTTCGCGGGCCCAGCAATCGGCACCCGCCACTGGTGGAGTACGCCGCATACGTTGAACAACCCAGATGAACAGTAACGCATTGCGGGCGCATTTTAGGGCGAAAGGGGGAGAAACTGGAGGTTTTGCGTATCGGGCAAGGATGCATCGACTTTTTGCTGAGCTGGAGCCATCTGTAACCGTCACCGAGCAAAACCTGGCAGACCGAGTTCGGTATATCTTGCGCTCAAATACATTTGATGTCACCGAACTCGAACGGCTACGACGTGAGGCTCTTCCTTCATCGGGTGAAAATGCTGCGGCTGAGGATGCGGCGCCACAACTTGCTGAGCAAACGGCAAACGTGGATGCCGCCGTGAATACCCCAGTTGTGGTTGATTCAAATGATGATGGAACAGTCGCCCAGGAACTGGAACTAGAGCAAATGAGGAGTACATTGGAAGAGGCGATTGTGAAAACGCGCAGTACACCTCTCGAAAATTGACTGCGACTTCCCCGCATAGCCCTAAGCAAGCGGAATCGGGCTGTCGTGAGGGCTCTGAACTCAATGCTGGTTACCTATTTGGAAGCCAGCCGGGACCTTTGCGAGACGGACTCAATTCTTTTTGGCGCCGCACTGGCAGTCTGCCGTATTATAGGCGCCAAACTTTCCACGGCTGGACGCGCTACTGGACAAAGTAGTGCTATCCCAGCCTGGAGAATAAGAATCGATGAACTTATCGCAAAGGCTAGGGCCCTCATCGACAGACTGATATGCTTCAGGTCAGGCAATACCAGGCCAAGGATTGTGCGCACCATCAGGATGGCGTTTGCTGGGACAAATGAAAAAAAAAGCCGGATATAATGCAAAAACTGGCGGAGCGCATAGACGACTTGAAGCAAAGAATCGCTGCTTAGCGGTTCAACCAGAATCGTCTCTTCCAGGGTGATCAGAAAATGCTCTATAAATCATTGTAGCGACCAATGGTAAGTGGAACGAGCCCAGCACCGAATCAGGCCAACACGGTCGCATCCTGGCGCAGCCTGTGGTCAAAGCCCGTAAACCACAACGAGGGCCCTTGAACGGATGTTGTGGCGAGTCAGTGTGGGTATAACGCCCATGGACCCCGTCATCATAACGCCGGATGACGTGGCTGAGGCGGTCTGTAGGGCCCCGAACTGGAAAAGTCCGGGGTTTGACGGGCTGCATCACTACTGGCTGAAGGGGTTCATGGTGTGTCACGCTGTGCTCGCCCGACAGTTTCAAGAGGCTCTCAACCAGAAGTGGCTTCCAAGCCTCTTCACTACTGGGATCACTCATTTGGTTACTAAAGATCAGGGTGCCACAGACCCGAGCAAATACCACCCCACCACGTGTCTACCGACCATATACAAGACACTAACATCCATTTTGAGCGCGAGAATCACTCGTCACCTGGACTCAAATCAGGTGATGTTGCGCGCTCAAAATGGATGTCGGGGCGGCGGTCGTGGAACCAAGGAACCACTCCTCATTGACGCGGTCATTGGCAAAGTGGTGAAACGCAACCGTCGGAACTTCTCCGCCGCCTGGATAGATTACAGAAAGGCATTTGACTCGGTGCCCCATACATGGCTAAAGAGAATCCTCGAGCTGTACAAGATTGATTGTACAGTTCGAGACTTCCTCGAGCAGTGTATGAGGCTGTGGAGTACGATCCTCTGTCATCTAGGCGAGCGGATAACGGCTGCGGAAAGCCGCATAAGGATAAGAAGGGGTATATTCCAAGGCGACTGTCTGAGTCCAGTCTGGTTCTGCCTCTCTTTGAACCCTCTCAGTACTTTACTGGAGGGCTCCGGGAGAGGATTTCAGCTTTGAAAGGGAGGTACAAAAGTGACCCACCTTTTCAGTCGCTCCCATCTCATGGAATTGCTAAACATCACTTGTGAATTTAGCAATTCTATTAGAATAAAGCTTGGGACGGATAAGTGTGCGGTCCTCCATGTTGAAAAGGGAAGGGTTGCTAACTCTGAGGACATAGACTAATCTATGTCCGTCAACTTAAGGACCCTTTCCGAGCGTAGACAGAGAAACCTATACACAAATTGACGCCTTCTTTCGCATTCGCACACGAAAAAGATAGATTTATGTATACGTCTTGCATAGAAATGAGATAGAGCGGTGTGATTGTTCGTCCCTTTCTCCGTGCCGGGGTTTTTTGTTTAGCAAACTCTACAGTTTGCTAAACAACTTTAACAGCGTAGCGATTTAAGGAGTTTACAAGTTGGTTTAAGTGAGAAAAAAAGTGTTTTGTGAGCTTAAGATTGGTGAATCTTGTTCAGTTCAGTTCTTAGAACAATTAAAATTTTTATCTAAATGTGTTTAAAAGTCATAAAGATTATTGTACAACCTAAAAATTCGTTATAGTCCTTTCTCACTCGAGGCCACGCCGATCATTAGTCTATAGGTTTCTCTGTCTACGTTTCCGAGGCTGAAACATACCGATACCTGGGTATGTCACAGAACATCGGTATCGATGAGGCTGGTATGAAACAGTCAGTTTGCGACGTGTTTTATGCACGCTTGACCAAAGTGCTTAACAGCCTTTTGTTCGGTGTGAATAAGACACACGCATATACGGGTTGGGTCATGCCTGTCCTCATGTATACCTTTGGCATACTCAGGTGGATTCAGACCGAACTTAACGCCCTGTATAAAAAGTCCGCACTACCATGACGTCCCATAGGTTGCATCATCCGAGATCGTCAGTAATGAGGCTGTATTTGTCGCGAAAGCATGGTGGGCGTGGTTTTCTGAGCGCGCTCACCATGGATAATCGCGAAGTGTGCAGCCTCCGTCATTACTTCCTGGCGAGATCGGATGATCTATTCTATAATGACGTCATTTCTTGTGATAAAGGGCTTACCCCTCTATCCTTAGCCAGCGAGCAATGGCTGGAACCAGCAGTGCTTAGCATTTCCGACCGGGAGACTAGACGACGAGAGAGGTACTACAGGGCTCTTCGTAAATACAGTCGCCTCCCTCAACTGGCTACGTTCCGGTGACCTCTTCGGGAAAACCGAGGGTTTTGTCTGTGCAATACAGGATCAGGTTATTAAGACCAAAAACTATCGGAGATACATCCTAAAGGATGGCACCGTCGACGTCTGTCGAGCTTAAGTCATCCCGGTGAGTCGCTTAGGCATGTCATCTCCGGTAGTTCGGCGCTTTCTAACTCTGAGTACTCGTACTTGCACAGGCACAACCTAGTAACCAGAATTCTACACCAGGAGCTCGCTCTGAAATACGATCTCGTGGACCGGAAATTGCCGTATCACAAGCACTTGCCGGAAGCCGTGCTCGAAAATGACCGCGCCAGGCTCTACTGGGACCGGGCCATCATCAAAGACAGGACTATTCTTGCGAATAAGCCTGATATTGTGCTGATGGATCGGGCACAGTCAAGGATATTTTTGGTCGATATTACCATTCCGTATGACGAGAACCTCGTGAAAGCCGAAGCAGATAAGCAATCAAAATATCTGGACCCGGCTCACGAGGTGACCGACATGTGGGGTGGTCTGCCGACCGAAATTATTCTTGTAGTCGTCTCTGCGAATGGGCCAATCCCAGTTAGCCTCTCTGGTCACCTGAGGCGACTGGGACTTCGTGACGGACCGCTCCGGGCTCAAATGCAGAAGGCGGTGCTCCTCGATACTGCCCGCATCGTCCACCGGTTGCTCTCCCTTTCCCCCTAACCTCCGGCCGTTTGGTCTCCCCTGCCGAGGGCTTCCATCTGGTTGGGCTTTTATTTATGTATTTATTTTATTTTATAGTTATTTATGTATATTTATCATTTTCGCTCGCAATTATATATTTATAGGACCCAACCAGATGAGAAAACTATATAGATACCCCATTATAATAATACCTATATAGGCACCCGTAGACGCGAGGATGGTCATCGCTGTCTACGCGTAGCCATAAGATGGACAGGTCTGTACCTTCAAGGCTGCCGAGGCGTCGAAAACAGATGTCCTCTCTGATGTACACGAAAACTCCAGCCCGGGGCACAAGAGTGTTCTAATTTGTATCCCGGGTTGGAGAGATATGAAATGTCATAAGTTGAGGTTTTCAATACTGCAGTGTCATCAACTACTTTAGTCACCACAAATATTAAATTATTCAATTCATACCCTCTAGCTACTCCAGCGCTGTTGTGGAGAGTTTTTGAACTGTTATTTACTGCTTACAGTTGGACACTTTTTTAACTATTCTCCTATGGGAGCTGGTATTCCTTACCTGTACACTCCGTAATTGCTACATATTTAAATGTATTTATTTTTATCAATGAGTTTTGGCGGGAACATAACACGTTCCCCGCGGCACTGATTTATCTGTACTTTCCATTACTGCGTTACGAGACGTTTGAAACCTCGTTCTGAACTAGAGGTTGTAGCGGCACGAGGCTTAATAAACCCCACCGCCCACATAAGACAAAAATCCTTTTTTTTGGCGCCAAATAAGGCGAATTGTGTGGTTTTTGTCGCGATTATCATTAAGAATGAGTTGATTAACCTAAATCTGCCGCCGCCTGTGGGCGGATTATTTAGTTTAGATTCTATAGGTAAAATAAAATGTGGGGTCTTATGTACCCCATACCGCACTGAAAAAGGGCTGTTTTTCATATTGTTTAGTGATGAAAAAAAAATCGATTTTATTTTATTGTACTTATGGATGCCTTTTATTAAAACAGCGCAAACAATATTATTTTTGCAACCGATACATTCTGTGAGGATTTTCTTTGCTATTTTGTCAGCCTCACCACTTGATAAGAAGGTGTGAAGTTTTTCGTAGCATCCTACACATCTCATTTTCTTTGATCTTTTTTCGAGATGTAGTGTATTTAGATAGATAGATTTATATAGATAGTGTATTTTTGAAGCGGGTTGATTAGGTGTAGCGATTTATTGGAGCATTTCTGTACATAAGTATGGGATCGTTAGGGCCTGTGTGTGTTTTGCTTTTGTCAGTTGAATTTGTTTGTTATATTCCTACATAATTATTTCACTTAGACTGAGTATAATTTGTAAATATTGATTGGAAACTTACCTGTTTTTCAAATATCGTTAATTTAGAATTAGATTTACCACCCAATTCCTCTTCATTATCAATAATATTATTAATTAACTTTCTTCGGCAACGTTTCGACATCTTATTATATCAGGTGCAGCGTTCAACGTTTTGCTCAACACTAACCGCGTAAAGCTAGATTAGGGTGCGGTTTGAGGTGTGCGGGGTACGAGGTGTTCGCAACCTCGTAACGCACTGTTTTAAACTTTAATTTATTCAGTGCGGTACGAGGCCTAAAAAATCCAGTATTAAGGTAGATATACAAAAAAACTCGGCATCAATAGCACATCTCAGATATATAGTTATCTCTTTCCTAGACTGAAGCAAACGGAAGTTACGCCTCTCGCACGACAGAGAAGTTTAAGTTTTTCCTTACCGCTATAACGACGAGACACGGACGAGGTGTTTCAAGCATCGTTTCGCAGTCAACGTGTTAAGAGAGGTTTGCACCGGAGCGAAGTTTTGACAACCGATTGAATTCACCGATAGTTGGGCAGTCTCCGGTCGGTGATTACCGGAGAATAGAGCTTGTTCAAATGACTTGCCAGAACGATTCCCTAGGAAACAAATGTACCATGTACGTTGTAATAGATTGTATTATGATATTAAAAAACACACTTTTTTATTAATTCATAATTTTATTAAAAACATGTGTTTTACAGATATAATAAATGCCGATTTTGATTGAGAAAACACAACATGTAAATAGCAGAAAAAATATGTTGCGCCATGATGCGCAACATATTTCTTTTGTTATTGAATATGTGACCTGTCGTTGAAAATATTCTCTCTGATCGAACAGAAGTTGCGGGCACAGCTAGATATTTAAAAGCTATTTCGTCCAAAGGTTTTCAATGTTTATTAAATTTCCAAAATTGCACCACATTATCCCAGTTATGACTTTTTCTCGCAATTGTGTTTCTGTATCTGCATTATTGGTATTCTTTTTTAGAAATCTTAGCAAATCCGGGCGACCTATTTCGCTTGTACTTGTCTCACTTAACGTGATTATTTCTTCTGTACTTTTAGGTACGTTTCTGACCCGGAAAATATTGTTAATTTCTGCCTTTACAGCTTCTTTTGCAGCCAATTTATTTTTCAGTTGTCTAAAGCTATTCCTGAAAACAGGATGCAGTATGGTGCAAATTCAGCAAATAGTTCTAGATTCGTAATCCAATAAGCGATCGTTCAAACTTTTTTTAATGTTTGCAAAAATATTTCACCAACCATTGTAGAGATTCTGGGGCCCAAACTTTGAATATTATCGAATAGCCCAAAAATAATTGTTTTTATTAAACTGGATGTTGGGTTTTGGTCTTCGCTAATCATTTGAGTGGCTTGCTCAAATACATCTAGGAAAAGCACCGTATCTTTTAATATTTTTTCTTCTTCCAGGCTAATAATAGAAGGTGCTTGGAGTAGTTTTCTTTGTGCGGAGGCTATACTGTCAATTAATTTTAAAATTCTTTGGAAAGCTAGTAGCAAGTGAATTGAATCACATAAAGGGACAAGAGCGCTTTGAGTTAATGACCGAAATAATTAATCTCATTCGAAAGAAGTAAATTAGTAAATGCAATAAATGTAGTTAAATAATAAAAAATATTGATTAATGAATCTTCCCTTTATTTTTTGTAATGTTTATTATATTAAAATATTATTTTGAGATGTAATACGATCACCGGAGTTTCCATCGTAATCGTAATCTCCGATTATTTCAATCGAGTACTTTTACCGGTAAATCACTGGTGATTCTCCGGTACTCACTGCTCCGGTCTAGAACTTAACCGTCAACGGATTGTTGCCTTTTTAAAATTGTACGATATATTAGGTACTTTCCTCCATGTATATATAATAAAGTGGATTTTGATACGTAAAAGCAAAAAAGTGGTGCCAAAGTGGTGGTGCAAAGTGGTGCCCGCCTAAGGGTATTAGTGTTCTGTGAGTGGTGCGCTTTGGTGTTTGAACTAAACTAATTGACTGATTTTTTTAATAAAATTAATTTATTACTAATGTGGCGCATAAATTACACTAATCGAAGTGAGGGACAAACTAGAATAAATACTATATTATGGACTTTTCCAAACTTCATCAATTTACTTAAAAATAAAAACACTCGAGAATTTACAACTTCAAGAACCCAAGATCAAAGTGTTGATCTCACCGATTCAAGATTCCAGTTAAAAATGCGATTCTTGGGACGTGATAATGATGCAATTATAATATACTATCTTTCTCCATACCCAGTATACTTAAAATCTATATTAACAATATGCTTGAAACGTTTTGAAGAACGCTCCATCGCTATAAATGAATACCATGCTGTGCAAGCTAATCAGTGGGAATATTTAGCCACACTGTTTAAAAAAGATATAACTAACTACGTTGAACGTGACAAATATTTGTTGGCAAATAGAAGTTTACATTTAAAGTTTAAATTTATGGTTTCTAATGATATAAAAGTTGACCGCACTAATGTTCCTGAAGCCCAGCTAAGTAATGATTTTGAGAATCTTCTTAATAATGGACTGTTTTCGGATGTTACCATAAAATCGGCAGAAGGCAATGAATATAAAGTCCACAAAGCTGTGCTTGCCAGCAGAAGTGTCGTCTTAAAAGCTCATTTTGAGCACAATACTACTGAATGTTACACAAATGTTGTGGAATCGCCATTGGAATCCGAGGTTTTAAGGGAAGTTCTAAAATTCATATATAGTGATAAAGCACCGAGGGTTGATGAATTTCCTGAGAAACTACTTGCTGCTGCTGATTTCTATCAACTAAGTAGACTTAAGAGTTTATGTGAAGAAGCTTTACATAAAAAATTGACAGTAGAAAATGCAATTGAAATATTGCAATTGGCTGATTTATATTCTGCTAAAACCCTGAAGCAGTTGACACTAGAATTTATCAAGGATGGCCACGCTGAACTAATAACAAAAACAGAAGGGTGGGCTAAAGTAAAATCTGTTGACTTGATCAAAGTTATTTATGAGTATGTAATGGCAAATGATTGAAAACTTATATAAAATGAATGTAAATATTAATGTTTAATTATGTATAATTTTTCTTAGAATGTGATATTGCATAAGTTACAGAAAGAAATATTATTTCAATGTAAGATTTCATAATCAGTACCTAATTTAAATTTATGACTTAGTATTTTATTGTTTTGTTATTTATAAGTTATTTTACTTTCATATTTATGTAAATGCATATTACTTATATAGAGGTTGCAACAGTAAAAAAACAATTTAGTAACATATTGAAACAAATTTTGAAGATGTGATTCAATTACTGCAATAATCATTGTTGAAAAAAAATTCATAGTAGTCGTAATCTACCATATGATCATATAGCTTATTCAGATTTTCTTATTAGGCATAAGGTTAATTTTTATTTATAAATGAATGCATAGTCGCAATGTGCCTCAGGTGGACCAGATTGTACCAGTGACAGATTAGTCATTGTGCCAATAGTAAACCAGTAAATAAAAGGAATGCTTTTATTTAATAAAGATTAATTTCATTATTTATTAATAATGGTCTTAATTAAGTTTTGTTATCAGTTATTGTCACAACTATAACTCATCAAATGCTGCAAGACTCATAATGTTTTTCAGTTTTATTTCATTTATGATGGGCTTGTATATTATACTTTCGGCCTGTTTCTCTAACTTTCACTCATTTACTTATCTCATCTTTCACTTTTATGAGACCTTCCTCAGTATATTTGAAAAAAGTTGTTCATTGTTTTCAGTGGAACTGTGGTAGAAAAAGTGTAGGTGGCCAATAACTGTAACAAACTCTTAGTATAGATATTACCAGAAACCCCTAGTCAAAAACTTGAACATTGTGAATTTTTTGAAGAATTTATTACTTTAAATTCTGTAATATATAATAATTTAATATTTATAATAATTTGTTGAAGTATCTTAAGTGAATATAAATGTTATAGAACAAATAAAAATGTTTTGTAATTACCAGTTGTTGACCAAATGGAACATTCCTGAGAAATCATAGAATTAGTGTTCTTATGGTTTACTAATGACAATCATTGATTTACATGAGCATTTTCTGTTGAAATAAGATGTAATATTATTGTTATATTCATTATAGTATGCAGTTAACTCAAAAATAGGTTACAATAATATAAACAAAAATTTAAAATGTTGAAAATAAATTACAGTCATATATGTGCTTAGTAAAATGGCCGTCAGGAACAAAGTGAATGATTGTCATTGTGGATTATGAGTTTTTACTGATGTATATGGCGTGTATATCACTATTAGTTACATGATTGTAATAATAATAATTATAATTACATGATTGTAGAAATACTGCGAAAGTACTAAACATAAAAAAATGGTGAGAAAATCAAAAAATGTTTAATATTTAATTGACAATGAAGATTAAAATGGTCTACTACTAGTTCCTAGTGTGAGATTGGCTCACTCACCCTATTAGTTTATATTGTGTTGATACTATTGAAAATTTATTGTAGTTTTTTTTTGTAATAATAATCATCCTTGCCAAATTAGCTGTATTGACATGAGTGTTAGATATTTATTCTAGACTATTTTATTATTTTCTTAAGTGTTTTTATTTTCAAATGTTTGTTACGTTCCTATTGATTTCATCCATTTTATCCACAACCATGTTCCACAGGTAGATACAGAAATAGTTTTATCGCTACTTTGATCCACCTGTGTAGTGGGATCCAAAAATAATAATATTTTTCTGAGCTATTTCAATCCATTAATGTCGGGATCAAAACAATAAATTAATTAAATTTTGATCCACATTTTTGTGTAGGTTGCAAAATTAATATAAACAGTATACAGGAGTGTTGCTTGAGAATTGAAACCATTCATAAATCAAAAATGGGAAATTAATACATGTTGAGTGATTCATTGAAAAAGAAAATAAATATCTATGGATCCGCCTGGGGATTATGATTGTGAATACGAGTGATGACATGACATGACTATTTATGACATTGATGCTGTAGTGTTTTTCAGTGTAACCATAAAAGAAATATTAAAATAAAAATTCTTATTATAGGAATATATTTTATTTTTCATTATCTTCACTTTCACTATCATCACTGCTAGAGTCACTTTCACTTTGATAAGGCTGTACATGTGTCCTATTAGTATTCACAAACAAATCATCATCATCAACCGCTACCACCTCTTTCTTTCTGTCCTCAAATTCTTTTGGCCACACATTACTCTCTTTAAAGAATTTTATTGAGTCCTTGCTCAAGATTTTCACAATTTCTGCTTTCACTTTGTCACCCTCAGGTATAGGTTCAACAATAATATAGTCTCCTCTTTTCACCCAAATATTCTTTCTAAACTTTGTAGGCATTGATACTAAATATTCTTCACCAGCTGGTGTTGTGATCTTAAATAAAAATTTTCTTTTGATCAAGATTGTTTCATAAGCATTTCTTTTACTACTATTAGAAAACTAAGCATGTGTCTTTATGACGAATTTTAAAGGTGATTACTTTTTTTTATAGAATATGAGTGACAAACGAGCATACAGTCCACCTGATAGTAAGTGGATACCGCAGCCCATAACCATCTACATCTATCCTCGCTTAAGAATAAAAACGCAGATGCATTGCCACTCCTGAGGGCTAAGATGAAATGCCTCATTTTCAGTAAAAAGGGTCTCCGGCCTGCTATATTAAGCTGGTATTTTGTAGATCATGGACCTTCCCCGGTCCAGCCGACCCATTCATGCTATCACCATACAAATACAGCTGCAGCATAGCTCTACCATGTAGAAAACGTACCATAACTTAAATCAGCCCCTCAGCTCATCAAGTTGAATATGTCATTAACACCTTAAATTATATAGAAAAACTATTTGTATAGATAAACTATGCTTTTATACTATATTTTCATACAATCAAACATTTATAAAGATAATAAGTATTAAAAATAAATTCTGTTAAAATAATATTACCTCATGAAGATTATTTCCTTTACTCTTTAAAACTTTAACGATACTTTGATTTTCTTTAGGAAGTTCGTAATCATCCCACAGCGCTTCATTCATTACATGTTTCCTCTTTGTTACTTTAGACATTTTAGCTCATTTGTTTTACATTAAGATATTAATGAATGTGTTACTTTACTGAATCTTTAGTTTAGTTTATTGAATCCTTGATCATTAGTAATCAATTTACTGTATACATAACCTTGAACAAAACATGGACATTCAGAGGTATGTATAACCACTATCTCTTTCTTTCTCCTATACTTTTTACTGTTATCCTTGCTTGAAGCCGCAGAGCAGCAGAGTAGCAGAGTGTAATAGTTTCCTGTTTAGTGCTTGAACTCACAAATTATTTAAGTTGCTTGTATAGATGGTCTTAAACTTTCTTCCACCAGCTTTCTTTTTTTCTTTTTTTTATTATTATAACTGGCTTTACCTAGGCATGTCGATCTAAAATCGATTCTTTGGAGTAAAATAATCGATTTTTGAGATCGATTCGGACACCGCATCGATTCACTGAATCGACCCAAAAACCTCTCGAATCGGACTGATTCATCTGATTCAAGAACTAGCGATAAAATTCCCAAACTGGCTGGGGTAAGGTACCGCAGTTTTTGTACTTGGTTGATAATTTGAACACAATATATATTTGAATAAAATAGATATTTATTATGGCATCCAACAATATCGAAAAGTTGTTATTTCATTTTCAGTTCTAAAATTCTAATTCTAATCTTACCTGTGTATATATGTAAATATTTAACCTAACTTAACCTGTGCTTTTTTTTGCGCCCGAAGCAAATATGGGCAACCCTCCGGAAAGCGGGGGAGGGAGGCGGTGAATGCTCATAGCATACCACGCAGCTGGCTGCGTGGTGCATGAGGTATGTGGAGACTTTTACCCACTAAACACCGCCTTTTAGGAATTGGCTTAACGATCTGACTAGAGATCTCTAAGCCGTATACGAACGCGACCCTCCTTGGCAGAAAGGAGGGCGCAAGCGGCAAAAAGCCGCTTAGAAGAGTGCCTTACTAAGGCAGATTAAGGGATGTGTTATGTAGGCTCGGCCTGAGCCGCCAGGAGGCAGTTCAGGTCAGCCGAAAGCTTGTTGGGGGGGGGGTCCGAGAGAGAGTTTCTCGGTCTGTGCACACTATAGCGAGTGTGGATAGGGGCTGCATAGGCAGTTATCTCACGAATGAGATGATTTGGGTGGGACTCTGAGGCTTTGAAAAATCTCTCAGAGAGTGATTTAAGGAACTGCTGGATTGTTGGGAACTCTAAGTCTCGATGTAGGTCGGCATTACGGACATAATAGGGCGAGTTAGTGGCCCTACGACAGAATAGATTTTGAACTATTTGAAGTTCATTTATAGCTTTATAAGCTTAGCATGTGCGAAAATGGGGGCCGCGTAGGTCATGACAGGTCGTATGCAGACCTAATATAGGGTTCGCTTGTTGCGGAGGGACATTTTACTGTGTCTGCCCAACATGCTGTTGTATGTACCATACCCATGTAAAATCGTGCGGTGCGAGTAACCTTCTTGATGTGGGGCTCGAAAGTGAGCCTTGCATCAAGGGTGACGCCTAGGCGTCACCCTTGATGCAAGGCTCACTTTTGCAATGTGCTGGTATTTGGCTTTAGTTTGCCATGGGACAGGGGTTCCTAGCATCCCGATTGGCGGAGTGGTGGTGAGACGATGTCGTTTATATTCGAAGCAAACGGCGGAGCTTTTCTCCGGGTTTACGTCGATACGCCATTTTTGGAACCAAGCTCCTAAGTCGCTTACTGACTTTTGGATCTTGTTCCGAATCTGCGGTAGTGAGTTGCCTTTAGAGTAAAGGGCTGTGTCATCTGCAACGAGGGCTAGTTTAACACCATTCGACGGGATAGGGATGTCGTTGGTGAATAGTATGTATAGGAGGGGAGCAAGCACAGAGCCTTGAGGGACACCGGCTTTTATTTGACGAGTAGAGGATAGCGTGCCTTCGTGTCTAAAGCGAAAGGTACGACCCTTCAGATAGGAGGCTACAAGGCGAACGAGACGGTCCGGGAGGCCTAAGTCGTACAGTTTGTAGATAAGGCCATCGTGCCAGACTCTGTCGAATGCCTTGGCAATGTCAAAGAAGACCGGCGGATGGTTTTTTGATGGCGAGGATAAAAACCGCTGAGGATGTATTCCACTATGCGGTGAACTTTCTGGGGGCACGAGTGTTTGTCTCAAAACCCGAATTGTTGTGGGATGACAAGAGGGTCGCCGTCTGTGGGAAACAAATGGCGCCTCAAGCGCACGAGAATAACTCGTTCGAAAAGTTTGCCCATGGCCTTGAGGAGACTGATGGGACGGTGATTGGAGGGGAGGTGGTGAGGTTTGCCTGGCTTGGGAATGCCAATGACAGTTGCCTCTTTCCAAGAGGTGGGAAAGTAACTTAATTCGAAGCAGGCGTTAAAGATAATGGCCAGTAAGGCGATTACCTGCTCCGGGAAGTGTTTGAGGGCTTGGTTGGAGATACCATCCGCACCCGGTGCTTTTTTGGGCTTAAGTCCTTTGATGGTAGATGAAATCTCATCTTTGGACACAGTGATAGGGTCAGAGGCGGTAGGGGGCGAGTTCCTGCATCGGACCTCGTCCTCCACTAGTTGGATGTGTAAGGGGTCAGTGGGTTGTGAGCTAGGAGAGCATTGAGCGGCGACGCTGTCAGCGAAGCACTCAGCCTTTTCTTTGTCCTCGTAGGCAATGGAGCCGTCGGGACGAGACAGAGGGGGAGTATGCGTTATAGCGTCTATCCGGAGGGCTCTCGCCATCCGGTAGTACGCTGTGTGGGAGGGAGAGATTTTCTCCATGAGATTGCCCTTTTCGTGGATTCTGTAATCTTGGAGGCGGTAACGCAGTTTGCGTTGAAGGCGGTGGGCCGCGAGTCTATATTCGGGAGTGGGATAGCGTGCAGCTCTACGGAGGGCAGCTTTTTTGGCTTTTAACAGGTTGCTAATATCTAGGGGAAGACTAGTTTTAGCAACCGGGACAACTTTTTCATTCTCTTTAAGAGAGGATGTTATAAGTGAGGTGAGATTTTCGACCGCGGTGTCTATTTTCCCCGTAATGTCGAGGGCGTCGGAAGAAAGGGTTATGGGAGGGTCCGCAGAGTCTATAGCCGAGGCTAGAGACTTCTTGAAGCCCTTCCAGTTGGTGTAGGTTTTGGAAGTGGGAGTTGGAGATGGCTGATGGCCAAGAAGGAGGGATACAGGACGGTGGTCGGATCCTAGATCATCGAGAGACTCGATTGCTCTAAGGTTAAGGGAGACTCCTTTAACTAGAGCAAAATCTAGCACATCAGGAGCGTAGTTAACAATGTCGGGATAGTGAGTGGCAGTGAAGGGGCTGTAGACAGTCAGGTCGAGAGACTGAGTGATATTGAGCAGCACCCTGCCACTACTGGTAGTAGTGCGGCAGGTCCATTCAGTATGCTTGGAGTTAAAGTCTCCAAATATAATGACTGAGTCGCCTAATGCAAGGATGGCTTCGAAATCACTCTTAACGGGGAGGGTTCCGCTAGGGATATAGCAAGAGGCTATAATGATTGACTGGTGTCCAGTCGTAGCTAATCTAGTGATAGTGGCTTCCATACTGGTAAGCGACGGAGTAGATATGTGGGAGCAATGAAGGGACTTTTTGTAATAGATGACAGTACCGCCGCCTTTGTGGTTGGGTCTATCGTTACGTAGAAGTGAATAATTTTTAATAGAAAGGCCTTTAGAGACCTTGGGGCTGAGATGGGTCTCCTGTAGGAGGAGGAGATCGGCTTCGCGATCTCGAAGAAATAGCCTAAGCTCTGGGAGGTTATTTCGCAAACCGCGGATATTTTTTTTTATAGGATAGGGTGACAAACGAGCACACAGTCCACCTGATGGTAAGTGGTTGCTGTGGCCCATAGACATCTACATCCATCCTCGATTACGAATCAAAATGCAGATGCGTTGTCACCCGTGAGGACTAAGATGGAATGCCTCGTTTCCAGTAAAAAGGGTCTCCGGTTCTCTACACTCACCATACGAAATACAGCAGCATTAAGCTACTATTTCACGCTGGTATTCTGTGAGAGCGTGGTCATTGAATGAAACAAGCGACAAACCCTTTGGTTTGATACGACCGTGAGATATTGCGGGAGCAGAGGGCTCCGGCATAGTTTAATTACAAAGACCTTAATAGGTTGATGTGCTCAGTAAGAGCAAGGAGACGGTCCTGAGGGGACTGAGCGGTGCGCAGTTTACGCGCAAGGATAAGGATTTCATCTAAATTGATCCTATTGAGAGTGTTATACACTAGGTTTAGAGATTCTACTACAGAGTCTGCCTGTTTTTGTGGGTCGGCGGAGGGCCGCGGGATATTTGATTCCTTTTGGAACCAGGGGTTTATTGGAAGCGGCGCAGGCTGGGAGAGCGGAAGGCTCATAAGGGGCCGAGGAGGGCCCTGAGGTGGCCGATAGGGGCCCTGTGGGGGCCGGTAGATGCCCTGTGTGGGCTGAGGTGAGCCCTGAGGGGGCTGAGGTAGGGGTTGGCCCTGGCTGGGCTTGCGACTTACAAGAGCCGGGAAGGTTCGGTCAGGGATGGAGCTTTGCGGCTCGGAGGTGGGCGAGGAGCGCGAGGGAAACCTCTAAAATTGGCCGGGCCTGTTTGTCCGCAAAGGACACATGAGGGTGGGGATTCGGCGTTTTTGGGCCGGGGGCACTCTTTCGAGTGATGGGGTTCTAGGCACTTAACACACCTGGGTGGAGCTGAGCAGTTGGCTGCCGCGTGCCCATAGAGTTGGCAGCGGTGGCACTGCGCTGGGTAACCGCGCCGGTGTGGGGCTTCGACCTTTACGCGCGAAAGGCCGCACACAGTGCGTACCTCGCGGAAGATGGCCTTCGCCTCCGGCACATTGGTGAGAACAAGGAGGGCAAGGTTAAACCTTTCACCCCTGCTGCTGTGCATTTTGTGCACAGCCTCTATGGGGAAGCCCTGAGACTTAAGGTCTTCCAGAATGTTCTCGTTTGCGAGGACATTCTGGAAGACCTTAAGTCTGTCCTCTTCCGGGAGGAGGAGGTAACGGAC